TGGAGCTCCACTCACCACCTTCTGGTTGGACATGTTGAGTCTTTACATTTCAGGAAGCAGGAACTTTACACTGGCTGCATTCTCATCTGGCAACACTGTTTTTAAAGGAATATGCACACTCTGCTTTCTAAAGCCTATGGATGTTTGGGGCACCTAAACCTAACAGAATGTTCTAGCCAATCACTTGAACTACACATACAACCAGGAAAGCATGTTCTGCCCAGAGTGACTGACTTGTGAAGGATGCCAACAGGCCTCCTTCAGGGAAGGACACAACAGGCCTCTTCTTATTTCTTAAAATACAAATGAACACGCCGTAGAAAGCATGTGCCCGATGCAGACGGAACACAAGGCGCTGCCAGGAGAGCGCACTCGGAGAGGCACCTACCTCCTTCCCTCCTACTTAGACAGTTCTGCTTTCATCTGGCCAACTTTTTTAACTATGCCTCAAGGACAGTCCACTTGGAGAAACAGCAGATAACCGACTCACAGGAACATCTATTATAAACGGAGATTAGGGGCAGGATTCTGAAGAAAGCTAAATAAGAAAGAATCATTCACTATTTTATGTGTGTCGGAAAGGAGAACATATACAACGGACCGTGAATATTACTGCAGTAAAGTGAATGAGTATTACACAAAATATTTTCTCCTGACTTAGCAGCAAACTATTTCAACTGCTTCTGCATCTGCATAAAAATCCATGCATCATACTGAATTCTAATCCATTTCTCACCTAAGCCATTCTAATGCTTCATACAACCAAATGAAGCAGAATTAATCAAACCTATTAGATTCATTCCTAATCCCTAAAGGACTTGTCTTTAGCATTTCCATGCTAACTAAAACTATTACCGATTTTTTTTCTTAAGACATTGGATGTGGCTGCCTCCTAAATATAAAACCTATATAACTTCCTAAAAGTTTTCTCCAGACTTGAAGAACAATTTTAAAAAGCAGGGAACTGTTGAGGAAGCCACCTGAAAGGCCAGCTCAAATGCTACACCACCTCCCTCAGCTAGCCCAAGCTGAGTACATCCGCTCCTCCTCTGGGTTCCCAGAGTATGTGTTACCTCTCTTACTGGACTGTGGCCCCTTCATGCTGGGAGCCAGGTCTTACTCAGTCTGTATCCCCACAGTACCCTGAGGAGTGTAGGCACCCAGCTAAAGCTGGATTGAGTGTGAAATTGAAGACGTCATCTCTTCTGAAGTGAGGTCTAGCTCAGCCCCAGATCATGGAGGGCTGTGCAGACACTGGCGGAAACAAGGGGCTGAGCTGGCCTCAGCAGCTTCCTAGAAAGAAGCCTGGGCAATGTGGCCCAGCCTCAGGGCCGGTGGTGGGGAGACAGGGAAAGGGACAGAATGGCATCTCCAGGTGCACACCTCGAGGGGTCATATGAGCTGATCCCCATACAGGACTAGCAGGGCAGGAATGCCTGTCAGTTTGCCAAAAGGAATGCCAAAGTTGTTCTGCCAAGACCTGGCTATCTAGAACACGGCATGTCCTTCACTCTGGGCAGCTGCTCAACCTGACCCACGAGACTCTGATCATTGCTTTGCTGCTTTCAAAGTTCCCAGTGAGATTAAGGCTGGGTCACAATTCATGACACCAGATGCTACATACAAAGTAAGTCAAGATACAAAGAAAACCATTTATAAGAAAAAAGGTCTTAGTTATAATAAGACTAATTTAAAAGTGAAGCTAAATCAGCAGACCACTGAACTGCTATGAGACAGGCAGAAAACACCAACTGCACTGGGAAAAGGATCCACCAGACAAAAGTACAAAAGCTCAGCATGGATCAGAGGACCTGGCTGCCCACCTGGACCCTCACACAGTGGTTTCTATTGTTTCAATCACTTCCAGATCAGACTGCGAGGGGGAGAGAAGGGTGCACTCGTCCGGTTCCCAGCTGCTCTCTGGACTGTAATCTTCCTCTGAACTCAGTTCTGCTCCCTCTTCCGTGTCCTCATCACACGATTCCACATAGTGAGCCCCAACTGCATTGATCCCAGAGTCCTCAGAACTTGAGGGAGAAGAGCAGTGATCTATTTTTGGTGTATTGTTCTCTTTTGAAATTAAGGCATCGTGTGCAGAGACCTCCTCGGGGCTCATTTTGTGGGAATGTGGCGCCGGCTGCTTCTGCACATAGCACATCTTCCCATTGATACATTTAACCTGATAGTTGTCAATAAAGAGGTCTGAGATCATACAGTACCTTGGTGAATCAGGCGGGAGAGGAGGCTGGAAGACAGATGCAAATTTCAAAAAGTGTTCAGTGAGGGAGACTGAGATCTGAATGGTGTTTGTGGGTTCCCGGGGCTTTGCGGGAATCTCAGTGCTTGGAAGCTGTTCCACAGGGGTCATCGGCTGATACACATACTTGCCTGTGGGGAACACAAAAAAGCAGCTGACATCTAACAGTATTTGACAAACCACATTGAGGTAGCAAGTGGTCTCTCTCTAAGGACTCAGAAGGTCTTAAAACATATTTCAATAACATCTCAAAAGAGACCAGTAACAGAATCATTCAATACCATTACAATCAATTAAAAATAGAGCATGGTATATAACATCATGGTGTTTTCGACTAAGAAACTCAACACACTTTACAAATCTTATATCTGAGTCTTTCTAATGCCTCTGGAGTAGGTGGGTGGATACTATCATCCTTATCTTACAGACAACTTGAAATGACTTACTTATCATATGACAATAGAGAATGTCCACAGTATAGTTCGGTAAAAACACACTATAAAACAATATAATACACTATAAAATTATAATTCCATTTTATCTTTAGTAATATGTTAATACAAACATTTAAAAACTGGAGGAATATATACCAACTTATTATCAGGATTATGGAAAACTTTCACTTTCTAGGTTTCTATGTTTAATCAGAATACCCATATACACATATTTAATAGGTAATAGCCTTGTAGGACTGTCCTGGTCAATCTCAGTGGCCGGGGTAAGGTGCAGGGTGTGAAATGATCTCTTTCAAGACCCAAAGTCATAAGTGCCTAAGTAGGAGACAGTCTCCTGGACACCAATTCCACAGGTACAACCTTAGCCGTGGGCAGATGGGAATGGGTGGTGCTGCCGGATGGTTCTAGGAAACCAAGAAGCTTATCTCCAAATCTGAGAAACACTCTGAGCGCTCAAGTGTTTCACAGAGTTGACATGGAAGTGAAACCTAACCAGGTCTGTTTCTACTGGGTCCCCTTCCTTGTTCTCTTTTACTTCATTCAACAGTTAGCAAAGCCTCCCACGTACCAAGTGTTAAGGAAACAGAGATGGAGATGACAATTATCCAGTCTGTAGGCCTAAAATGATTTCAAAATAGAAATCTGGAAGAAAAAAAAAAACCCTAAAAGGCCAAGAGATAGAAGCCACAATCATGGGCACCACCTTGGGTTTTTCCTAATGTACTTCATTTATCAGTCAGTCCACACAGTATCTTCCACACATATTTACGACACTGTCTTTAACCTCGCTGCTCCTGCCTTCTCAGACAAGACAATCTTTTGCTGTGGGGCTGTCCTACGCACTGTAGGGTGTCAAGCCAGATCCTTGGCCTCTACCCACTAGATGTCGGTAGCACTTCCTACCCAGGTGTGACAATCAAAGGTGTCCCCAGACAACATCACATACTCTGAGAACTGATGATTTATGACCTCCTAGTGAACATCTCTGTGCAAGCAAATCACTCTTGTGTTTATCTGCTCTCATTTGTTTTATTTCTTGGTCAGATTGAAAATTCTAGAGTAGGGATCACATTTGTAAGGAAAACTACCTTATATTTTTAAATATGTTCATGGACAAATAGTAATTTTAGATAAGAAATGTGAGCAGTGAACAAACACAGTGCAACATCAGTAATCTATTAAGACCAACCAAGCCTGCCTGTGTTCTTACAAGTCTGTTTCTTGACTCCTAAGTAGGCTTCAATGCCATGATTTCTTTGTAACTAAATTACTCTAAAAATACATTCAGCTTCTCTCTGGAGTACAACATGAAAAAGGTACATTTAAAATTGACAGGCCTTTGAGTTCCAAGGTCCACTTCCAAGCCTGGACATGTTCCATGCAAACCCTGATCTAACAAAAACAGAAGTGAGAAAAACCCGACATGCCTGCCTAGGAAATTGGTTAAAATATAACGGGTATCTTCATTTCTGTTATGTGTGAAAGAGGGCATTACTCCTTGTCAGGCAAAATTCAAATGAGGTGAGATCTAACAGTTTGGTATGGCAGGACTTCACCTCCAAGTATCTCGGGCACTGTGAGCTAAGGAGCCAAGAAGGCAGACCAGCCCAGGATTAGAGAAAGATGAGTCTGGGCAGAGGACAGAGAAGGGACTTGGAGAATTTAGGAGACTGCTCCCTTCTGTCCAGGAGTAGTGAACAGGACATCTGGAATGGAGGTATGATCTTCCCTCTTCTTGGCTGGTGGCCTGGTGGTTACTGAGTTCAGGAGGCTGTGAATGGCAGGCACTCAGACACACTTGTTACAGACGCTGATTAAGTTCATTCTAGCTCAAGTAACCTGTGCTTTAGTCACCCACTTGTCACAGCACAGGAGGTTCCTGAGACCCAGAAGAAGGAGGCTTCCTCTGGTCCACAGGTAGAAGGAATCCTGAAGCTGGACTCTGGGCCTTCTCTGACCCCTCTCCCACTGTCACCAACACCCTGCTGTCTGCAATCCTTCCCCTCCTTTGTGCTTCTTCATAATTTACTTTTTCTCTTCTCGCTTCTTCTACCTCTTTGTCTAATCCTCTCTGCCCCAAAGCTCTGTTTTTCTTTCTTGAAGTGTGGTAAAAGAGAAATGCAGCTGGGAGAGAGAGGTGTACACTGCATTCCTGATTACATTTTCCTCTACAAGTTACATCTATTAAAGGTGCTTCCTCACATGAGCTAGGGTAACAGCCTGTTATCTGCTGATTTGGGGATACAGATGCAAAGAGGAAGGCAGAGAAGAGAAAAACAGTAAATGCAGCCAGGTGAGAAACACGGTTCAGTAAACATCTTTTAAATATCAATTATACCCTAGTATATTGTCTGATATGCTTATAAACATGTACAAAATAAAGCAAACTCCTACCAAGGATGTAGTTTTGTAAAGAGCCCAGAGGGGTCAGTACTTTGCCCCAATCCCCAACAGCTTCTACCCTGGGGCCCACCCTGCTATGATCCATGTGCACTGAGAGCCCTGAGGCAGCACTACAAGATCCTGAATTACCAGAGATTCAGTTATGTCCATCCTTCTGTCCCAACTAAGACACAAAACGAATGAACACACTTCTGCAACAGCAGGGATTGAAACAAAGAGGTTTCTGGCCACGCAGCCAGGAAATTCAATACCCACTGTATTCTCTAAATAATCCCTTAATTAAGGGTTTACTATGTTATTTAAAGAAATAAATGGATAAGAACTTTTAAAATTGAAATCCTTGAAAGGAAAGCTACTCAGAGAGAGTCAGGGCTTGGAGAAGAGCAAAGTAGAGGCAGAGTAAGAGAAACATTTAGATGCTGCAATGAGCCAGCATTCCACCCCTGGGCATATGCCCAAAAGAACTGACAGCAGAGTCTAGAAGAGATATCTGTACCATGTTCATAGCAGCATTACTTGCAATAGCCAAAAAAGGTAGAAGCAACCCAAGTGTCTACTGATGGATAAATGGATAAACAAGATGTGGTACATACATACAATGGAATATTATTAGCCTTAAAGAGGAAGGAAAACCATGCTACAATATGGATGAACCTTGAGGACACTGTGTTACGGGAAATAAGCCAGTCACAAAAGACAAATACTGTATGTTCCCAC